CATACATTCTCGCATATGTGCGAGAGTGAAATTAAATCCCTATTAAATCCCGCGGTCGCGTTAAACCCCAAGTCAAGCCTCTAGAAAATCGCGTCGCGGTTAATTAAAGATTTGTAGGTTCATTATGTTGAAACACGGGTAGATAGAAATTGGATAAGTAGGTCTATATGTTACAAATATTTTTGTAAAGATAACCGTTACCTTAAAGAAGAAAACTGAAATTGAGTAATCGGTTTTGTTAGCACTTGAAAGATATTTTTCTGCGCACATGAAAGCAATCGAGCAAAAAAATAATTTTTCTCTATTTACAGTAAGAAAATGATAGAACGCTATCATTTCCTCACCACCTTGCGGTAAATAGCATGGCGAATTTTTTTAAGTGGTATGCCCAGTAGGTCTAATCCACCTTGTGAGTGGAAAAACGTTTAGAAAATTCATACAGAAATATATTACTATTAGATTATCAAAACCCAGCCTGACCGAAAGTGGCATTTTCTCTATTTGCATTATGCTCACGTGTCAGTTTTATTGAAATGTATTCAAGTGACTTTAATCGCTTCTGTTTGATTATAATAGTACAATTGATAATGTTAAAACTTTATTATACAATGTACCCGAACGAGAACGAGTATACAATATATGTGTGTGTGTGTGTATGTATGTATATAATGTAGGAAATATATATCAGGACTATTTTAATGTACAATTGATCAGTAAGTTTTAATATATTCTATTCCCTTAAAACTTAATTAAATCGGCATAAAAATGTTATCAACTGACTCAAAATTTTCTTGATTTTATTTACAAAGTTATTATCTAAATTCATAAGTATATATTCTTATGAAAATGCAATATTATTTTATTTGCGATTCCCATTTATACAGCCAACATACATTAAAGCGTAGATATGTCTATCATACAAAACGAGGAACCTAAAAGTCCTGTATTGAGAGTGTACAGAAAGTATGAGTTACTTGCTGTGTAACATGCGCTAGCATTCATTAAGGACATTTATATCTCATAACTGCCTAAAAACAAATACTCAGTGCATTAGGATTGCACTATCGGTAATTTAATTCGCATCATTGAAGATTGCATATTTTATTATAATTGGATTTCGTTAAAAGTATCATAAAGACGTTCGGCAATTATTTCTTCTTTTTCAGCTTTGCGATAATTTCGGACTGTGCCTTTTGCCAGTCCAATGGTTTGCGACGGTACATAGGCCACGGAGGTACAGTGATTAACGCCGCCATAACAAATCCCGCAACCAGAATATAGATTGTCTGCGAAAATTGTTGAATAACATATCCCCAGACTAAGCCGACTATCTGTGAAAATATATCCGTTTCTATACTGCAATTATCAACAAATACTTTCAAAAATCCCAGACAACTGTAGCTTACCCCAAATAACGTTATTATAACCCGCGACAATTTCTCTGCTCTGGCTTGGCCATCATAGTCCTGAAACAAACACACAAACAATAATAGCCAGATCTGTCGGAACAGATTTTGTCGAATGTCCACTACAAATGTTGAAAGCAGAAAGGACTGCAGATTGCATACAGGCACTGATATATTCGGCATATTGCCAGCATATCAGCAAAAATACAACAAAATCCGCTCACAGAACCTGCTCGGTTTCTGCCGACAATCTGTTGACAACGTAAATGTTACAGACTCTAGGTTCGTTTTCTGTTCCCGCACTGGTGAACTAGTGCAGTAAGCTAGAAGGAGAAAAATATACTTGTCTCTTACTCTAATTGATTGTACTACTTAGTTCACCAGTGTAGCAACAGGAAACAAGCCTTCTGTCACCAAAACAAAAGCCAAATGCGGACACAGATGGCTATGGTTTTCGGTGTGGGTTTCTAATGAATCCGCTGCCAATCTGCTAACATTTTGTTGATTGGGAAGGATGCATAAATGCACAAGATTTCGTTAAGAGCGTGGGAACAACATACGCATGATATACAAGTAAACTGCCAAACATAGATTTAGTAAATTTACTTAAAGATCTACAATGCAACTGCAATGTAAACATATATCTCGACGCTCGTGCAACATATTCGATTACGTTGACACATGGAGCCTCGATGAACCTAACCTCGCAAAACAACAAATAAACATTGTCTCGGACTTGTCGCGAATGATAACCGTTCGGCACGTTCGTTCGAGGACCTCGTTATTTACCATATGCGTTGGGATCGATTTGAAGTATTGCACCCACGCGTTCATTTTGAACAAATACACTGACGTGGCGGTGGAGACAGATGCACTCGCTCCAATCGCTGTAAGCTCCGGCTGCTCCGGGCAGTATGTGCTGCGCTATGTAGGATTTTTCGGATTTTTCTCATCCCCGAGAGCATCCGTGCGCATGCGTGAAGTGACGTCACAGCTGAGTGTCGTCTGCTACGACGGAGCAATAGGTAGGTGCATAAGAGGTCCCGTATTTTTCTCGCGTTGTTTAGCAGTAGTACGTTATAGTGATAACGCGTAATACTATTGTAGGAAATTAGTTAAATATGTTATAGATCTTTTAGATAGTACTTCCTTTTTCTCCTGCTATGTCCCTCAAATTTCTCTTCTCGCTAGGATCTAACGACACCTTATATTTGTCCGTAGTGTATACATTACTGAGGAGTTGGAGCGTTTGCTTACTGCGGGATTATGGCTCATTCAGACTGGGCCTAAATTCCGTACACGATTACCGACGACCATCGATACGTTAACGACGTTTGCGCAGCTTTTTCTACATGATAGAAAAGCTGCGCAAACGTCGTTAACGTATCGATGGTCGTCGGTAATCGTGTACGGAATTTAGGCCCTGGACTCGATGAACTATGAGCGATGCGCGATTATCCAATGAGCGTACAGGTTTTATAGGAAAGCGTACAGTTTTCCTATAAAGAATGCACGCCATTGGACAGCGCGTGTCGCTCATCGCTCATCGCGTCCAGTCTGGATGAGCCATTAGTGATGCGACGATGCCTCTAAAAAAATCGATTTTCACATTTAGCAAAAAAGAATTTGCAACTTGATTCATTAGAGTAAAATAAATAGATTATAGATAATCGATCAAAAATCAGGTTTTTATTGAAGCCATATGTGTGTATGCGTGCGCGCGCGCGCGTGTGTACACACCGACATAAGTTTTGCGAGAAAAATAGGTAACCACACTAGCATATAAAGACATCAACATCTACAAGCACTCGACCAACTTCTGCTTATACAGGAGAAACAGATACACTTCTGAAAGATAATCGTACTTCTAGTTTCGAAATATTACACAATCTACAAATATCTCACAATTTAAGAAGTGACTATAATATTTTAATCTGTTACTGACTAATACTGACTAATACCAGAGAGAAACCTGAGAGCGGCCACGCCGACGTTTTACTTGATACCGTTTCAAGAAACGGTTTTGTGCGCCATTACGCCCATTTTTATTTTTGGAACTATTTTGCTATGCATCTTCTGACACTTCCGATAAAGTCTCCACTTTGTGCGTGTTCATGCTACGCCTATTTTTTAGGATTGAGTTGTGAATTTCAAAATTACATTAACATAATATCTGCATGATGGTTACACCAACTTTTTTCATGTAGTCAATGTAAATTTTATAAATTAGATATCAGAATGCATAGCACAGACATGCACCAAGTGGAAATTTGATCGGCAGAGTCAGAAAATGCGTAATGAAATAGTTCCAAAAATAAAAGTGGGTGTAATGCGTGGTCTACAATACGTGGAGTAAGCGTGGAGTAAGGAGTAAGGGAGAGCCCTAACTTCTAGCTTTTGGTGTAAGGAAGCTGAAATACGGGCATGATTTTTAAAATAATTGTAACACTGATTAATGGCATTTTAATTCACCGAGAGTAAGCCTAAGAGCTGAAGTAGGAGTAAGAAATAAAATAGATTTATTTCCTTACTCCTACTCCTTACTCCAGCTTACTCCAAGTATTGTAGACCAGCCTTAAGAGTGCGCAAAACAGTCTCCCGAAACGGTATCAAGTAAAACGTCGGCGTGGCCGCTCTCAGGTTTCTTTCTGTATATACGAAAATAATCAGTTACCCAGAAAATCGTGATAAAGTAATCGATTCACAAATAATCGACCGTCTGAATAATCGATAAAAAATTGCGATTAATTTAAAGAAAAAGATCGATTCTCAAATAATCGAATATGCGAAATGGAAAAATACTTACGATGTGAATTATATCCTTATTTCTTCTATTCTCCATTGTATATTTATTTCACAAAAAATTTCTTCAGAACTTTCTTATCATTGCAAGCAAGATTATGAACGCTGTTTGCCACGCATTCGATGATTTATAACGGAGAGTTTTCTCTTCCAAACACACAACAAAACTTGCCGTTAAATTTTAATACGTGATTTTTAATAGTCGCGCATTCGGATGTTGTTACGATATTTCTAGCCTATTTTCTTACCACATATAGCTAAAAATAATCGTGGCAATCTTGCGCAAACAAGTTTATTTGTACAAAATGCCGAAGAGCACATAATATTATAAATAGTTGCGGCGTTGGAAATTGAAACTGCCCTGGTAAAAAATTTTTCATGCGTGAACATGAATAAATACATACATAGAATGATATAAAAATATACATCAACAATAGATTGTATATTCTATATAATTTTATACAATTCTACACAATTCTGTATAAATTCATAGATTTATACATGCTTTTATATGAAAAATAGTTGCGGCGCTGGAAATTGAAACTGCCCTGATAACAAATTTTTCATGCATGAACATGAATAAATACATACAGAGAATTATATAAAAATATACATCAACAATATATTGTATATTCTATTGTATATAATTTTATACAATTCTACACAATTCTGCAGAAATTCATAGATTTATACATGCTTTTATATGAAAAATTCCTTATTTACACAATTATATATAATTGTATACAATTGTACAAAGTTGTACATGATTATAAATGAGCAATTTTTCCCTTTTAAATATTTTTCATATAAAAGCATGTATAAATCTATAAAATTATATAGAAATGTGTAGAATTGTATAGACTTACATAGAAATATATTATACAATGTAAAAATATGTGTGGACATATCTTTTTTATTATATAATTTTATATAATACTATATGTATATTTATGCATGCTAATAAAAATATATGAAAAATTTTTTATCGGGAACTTGGACACGTTTATTCATTTTTGTTTGTTGCGTTGACCAAATGTTCTATAGGACTAGAAGGAAAGTCGTCACTTGTATCTCAGCTAATTATCAACGAGATTAACTATAGGTTTCCCTGATTAAGGAGAATAAGACACAACTGCCGAGAACGTGCGTTATGTTGGTGGATTACGATTAGTCGAATGCCAAAGCATTTTTACACGCGATTTTGCTCTGTCGCATGATAGGAAACACCGCTTGGCTTTCTACATTCGGCATTTCTGCAGACAGAGACTCATAGATATTCCCTCGTCGTTGTGGCGTTTAATGACACACTTCAACCATGCGTCATGCAGCGTTTTTCCGCGCACGCGACGCATTCGCAACTAGTATGAAGGAAATCGTGCGCGAGGTGCGCGATTCGCCAAATATCGAAATAGCGTGTCGTCGCATTGCATGCAATTACGAAACAGAAATTCGCGACTCGACATAACACAGACATCGTTTCCGCTTTCATGTCATAGTCGCGTATTGTTCCTTATAAAAACTAGGCGTGTTCGAAAGAAGCTCGATTCGTAAAGTTTCGAAGTTCCTGAGATAAGTTTTCCTATAATCGTCGATTTTATTTTTCTACCTTCTCTCTCTCTCTCTCTCTCTCTCTCTCTCTCTCTCTCTCTCTCTCTCTCTCTCTCTCTCTCACCTTATTTAATTACTTTTTCAATTTATCAACTTCCTAAAAAATCTAAAATTAATGAGATTGTGATATTTAGAACTAAAGTGTAGGTATTAAAATTATTAAGTAAATTAACCTTTGCTTTCTTTTTTCGCCTTTTATATACGAACGTTTATAGACTGATAATTGTAAATTATATAATTTAAAAACAGTATGTTTCGAAGAATTAAATTTGTTGTAATCGTCTTTTGCAGTGTTTCTCTATAAGCAGAGGTAGGTTTATCAATTTATAATTATTTTGCACGCTTATATACACATACAGAGAAGAAATAGTGAAAGACACAAGAATGTATGACAGTTTGAAAATTTTAATATTGTTTTTGATTATAATTCTTAGAATTTATTATCTCTTTGTCTAATTTTTCACGAAGAAAAAATGTATTTCCTAAAAGTATACTTTTCCTATAAATTTCTTGAATTACTTCTTATAATAAAAGTTCATAACGTTATTATGTTATTCATTTTTTTAACAGAATAAATTTGTTTAAACAACAGAGTTAAAACAAAACCCCTAAATAAAATTTCATTTCTTACATTACTTCTCATAATAAGGCTCATGACGTTATTACGCTATTAGTTTTTTGTATAACACTTATTACTGTAATATAATTACTGTATTATATTACAATAATATTATTACTGTAATATAATTACAGTAATATATAATTAATAGTCATCGGCGTTTAGTTTTCGTTTGCTAGTGAAATTTTATACACCAGTGAACTTATCTCAAGCAATGTAAATATAAATAATAAAGAAAACAACATCGCTAAGTACAATAAATAAGCAACGCAATGAAAGAAAGCAAAAGATTGATTTTTACACGACTCGCTTGATAACAATTACAGCTTGGCATTTTTCCCTTAAAAATACAAGTAGAACTTGGGTTGTTATTCAATATATTCGGCGGAAGATGTCGGAAATATTTTGTATCTACGTTAAATATGCCGAATATCATGTTCGCGAGCAGCTCCTAAAATCGCCAAACTTGCCGAGATAATAAGATTCGATTTTGTATTCATTTGTGGCGTTTCTTGTTTCTTCTTTATCTGAGCTGATATTCTCTTGAAACGTATCCGGTGCAAGTAGAAAAATGATTAATTTCTAAAATTTGCTTTTGCTAGTTCTATTAGACTTCATATTTCGGTATCGCACGTCGTCCACACTGTAAACCAGCGATTCTCGTTCTTTATAAATACTGAGTCTTACAATTAGTCGTTCTACATGCAGGACATCCTCAATCATCATACAATTTCCGTAAAGAGAAAGAAGTTCCCCCTCCCCATCCCTCAAGCTTCACAATTCTGATAAAATAATGAAAGATATATATACACAAATGATGCATACACGCGATCTTATATCATTTTGTATGCATCGTAAGTTTCCAATTGTAATAAGAATTTGGAAATGTTATTCCGATAATTTGTTATTTCGATCGCTTTTGAATTTAACACGATATTGTCATGCGAGGGAAACGAGATTTTGCAAAATCACCGGGGTTACGGTATTACTGTCCGTGAATGATCAAACGATCGTCATAGCATGTACATGGCATCGAATATTATCATCTTAGATCGATAAGCTGCATTGCGAGGCGTAGAATAAATATTCGCGGCGTTACTGGCGTTTGATGAAACGCTTCTCGGTGTTGCGTACAAGCAACTTCTCGTTTCGCGGTCGTTTCAAAGTCTGCTGATATAGTTCTCATCGTGGATGCAAGTACTCCATGCGGGCGTCGACGGCACTTCACTGTGAGAACGCGCGAAATGTACCGCATCAGCAACGGTGGGGAACATGGCGAAAAAGTGGTTCTCGTTACGTTCGATCGGAGTGAACTTCCTCATCCTTTCGTATATAGGACCTGCAATCGAGATATTAATTTGTATAATTAGAGATTAATTAATTTGTCATTTATTCTACCGGGTTTTAATTTGCTAAAATTTTGACGGACACGCATTCTTAATATAACAACAATCTCGTTGATTATTCATAATAATAGAAACGCGACGATTGTAAGACCTTTTTTTGTGTAATCTGTAACATATATCAAAAAATCGATAAAGAGACGATAGAAAACATTATGTAAAGTAAATAACGTTACATAGTTGGAAATTTTGTGTTTTCTTGTTAGAACATGTAACATATTGCTATTCACGAAAAAGAAAATGTATAATAGCTGCTACATTGCAGTTAAAAACTGCATGTGGTAACTAAATTTTGGTTGTACAATATGGACAGCTAATATTTAGTTGCGATAGATAAATATTTTATTACTGTGTCCATTGCATTAGATTCGACAGCAGACCGTTTGCTGTGCTTTAGAAATTTATAGTGGTGGCAGCAAAATATTTTTAGCAAACCACGATTAGCTACGGTGGCAAACTTTTTTTTTCAGTATTGTGTTAATTAAACTCAGATGTTAAATTATTAAAATAACTGAAAAAGCGTAAAAATAACACATTGTGCGCCTATTTTAAATTTTACACAATAGATATGTCCTATATTATTAGTGTGACAGGATTTATCTTCACGTTAAAATTTATAGAAATAATGTAAAAGTTTGAAGTATTATTCCGAAAAATGTAAAAATAACTTCTTCTCTAATTAATTTTATCATTTTAGTTATCATTAAAAATATGTCAATTTTACACTAAATTTATTTCAAATTCCTTTGCATTTTTTTGTGTTAAAATATTAATACAGTATTGCATCACTTAACATATGTATACATATTACATTAAATTAATACGAACATTTGTGTGACATGTTTGGGACATGTAATATTTATTAAATTTAACAAATTTGTTAACTGTGTATATAATTAATGTGTCGAATCTATTTTCTATTTCTCTTTGCATCACGGGTTAAACTTACGTGAATTAAATTAAGAGTTAGAGTCAATTAAGAAATTAGATACAAAGTTATATAGATATTAAAATGGTGTGTGTATCTATTATAAAGTTACATATTAAATATACTTACCGGAACAACCTGTTATATAAATAGATACTTCTATACTGCAATATTCATCAACAATATTTCGCAAGGTATTTGCGCCTGCCAGATCGATGTGCGACATTGCGGTGAAATCCAATATGAGAATGCGTAGCTGTAAAGATTGAGAACCGAGATATTTATAGATAAGACAAGTAAACGAATGCAGTAAAAAATAATTAGTCATCTTTTTAAATAAATATTCAATTATAGTAGAATGGAACTTTTTCTAGGCCGATTTTACCTTTTTAATTTCTTCCGCCGCGGTGCCGTTGCACGCTTGTAGCCGCTTCTTTCGTTCCTTTTGGGGTATTAACTCTGCAACTTTATACACCTCCTCACGAAAGTATTGTTTAGATGCGAAATTCAGACTACCGGAATAGTGAAAGATTTTGATGCCGGGAATTTCTACAGTCTGAGAATATTTGTAAAATTTATATACAGGGTGTTACGGATAAGGTGTCCATCCGCTCGTATACAGGTAAAGGGGGTTAAACTGAAAAGAAAAGTTATGTACTATTTTGTAAAACTCCCAATAGTTATCGAGTAATTAATTAAAATGTCTGAGCGAATAAGCGCGAGGAAAGCAGTAGACCGGACTCGGTAGATATTAAGGGGATCTTAAAGTCGTCTGTTTCATCGATATTCTTTGTTAGAAGTAATCTTTTAATTGGCTTTATATAGAAATGCAAAATTCTTTTACGGAATTAAAATACGCAGCAAAATCTAGACTATACTGGTCGACATAAAAAACGAAAATTTTTTTTTTAAATTTATTGACGTTTGGCACATTTAACGACAATATTTGCTTAATACAAAAATTCTACAATAAATATATACAAAATGAGACCAGTACTCTATAAGGGACAACATATAAGAACAATATCGTGCAATTAGAACTAATTGTAAGATTAATAGCCTAGAAAAAAAAACTTCTAATAAACGCAAGTCCAGAAATCCAAGTCTAGAGGAAGAGAAAAAGAGTAGTATGGCGTGTAGAAATTTACGGCGTGCGACTTTTACAAAATGGTATAATACATAACTTTCCTCTTCAGTTTAACCCGTTCTACCTGTGTACGAGCAGATGGACACCTTATTCGTAACACCCTGTATAACTATAATGATACTTATTGAAAAATTTACATATTTCTAAGAAAGTAAGCATTTACATGCATCATAATAGAGATAGATAAGTGTTAGGAAAAAATAGCTTTTTTTAAATTACTAGTTATTCGTACTCCTTTGTATCTTTTGGTATCCAAGTAGAGCTCAGTGCCTGGTGCTAGGGCGAGCTTACACGTGTAAGGTCGCACAGCGAGGACGAGTAATCTTCCGACGCACAGAAGCACACCGACCAACAATCCGTACTCGACGTCGGAAAGAATCACCACGATAAAGGTGGCGGCCCAAATCGCGGCTTCCGTCTTGTCTAATCTCCAAAATTGCACGAATTCGGTGACCTTCATCAGCATGCCTTGTAACGCCACCACAATTATACTTGCTAAAACACACTACGCATCCCACGAGCATCGAACGCATCTCGATCAACGTCTCACGCTTATATCGCAACATGTAGAAGTAATGAAGAAATAATTACACGTGGTAAAGGTTGAAAGAACGGCCCAATCCACAGCAATACGCTCACCAGAATTCCGCACGATATCAAGCTTGCGAGCTGTGTGTGTCCGCCTACAGTTTGCTGAATCAACGACCTGGATAACGAAGCCGTGATGGGCATGCAGGAAAAAAAAGAACCCACAAGGTTCCCCAATCCCTGTAAACATTACGTTTCGTTGTATGAAATTGATATAGAAGAAAGTCCCCTATTATATGAGACAGGCTTATAATATGAGATAACAGGTTTTCATCATTCAAATTCAATCACAATTTCCTTTCGTGACGATTACACAATCTAACAATAAATTTTCCATTAAACAAATCTCACTTCAAGGGCAATAAATTCATGGTGGAACGCACAGACGATGCTTATTAATTTAGTAGAAACCCCGTTGTCTCATATTAGGAGCCTGCTTCATAATAGGGGACTTTCCTCTACTTATGTGGACGATTAAAGTAATAAATTTATCACATTAAAAAAATGTAATATTCTACATTGTTATCGCGAGGTGCGTTTACCTGCGCAATCAATTCTTGATTAGAGTCGACCTCGTAGCCCACTTTTTGCGCGAAAATCAATGCCATGGACATTGATATTGTATAAGCGACCATAGTAATTACGAAACTGTCTACTAAAATGCTGGGTACAAGAGACATCGGTGGCACAGACGGGACTGGCAACCTAAAAACCGTGACATTATAATAATTTGAAGTTTGTTGCAATATCTCGCTTCCACAGCTTGTTGTCATTTCATAAAAAATGTATCATTTTCCGTGGTGAATCAATCGAAGTTTACTTAGCAAATTAATTTTAACATAGCTATATAGGCTAATATTTTTATACGGAATGAAATTCCTTTACTACAAGCTGTGTAAGTTAATCGAATACGAGTTTGAAAACATATTTACCCTACTGGTATAACACCAACTGTTATTACGTTATAAGTATCCGCAAGATTCATTTGCATCGATACTACAGTACCGATTACCACCGCGAGCATTTCTATCGGAACTGGAAAGGGGCATAATTTTGAAACCCTTGGCTGAAATCCAAAATATTTCTTCGTAGAACGCAGTTTTGTAATTAATTTTACAAACTTAATATGCGTCTCTTTTGTACGAAACGCACATGTATGTGAAAAGCATAATTACGTGTATTACGAACCTTAAGAACTTCGTTGTTGAAAATAAGTGCTAAGACAGTGATGCAAGATAATATCACAGCTGTTGTATTGATATTGTTTAGACTGTTGAAAACATCTACATAAGTCTGGAAAAAAAGATAAATGAAGCAAGAGCTAATTCTAATTGGAAAGAATTAAGTTCTACAGTCTGAGAATGTTTGTAAAATATTTATATACAGGGTGTTACGGATAAGGTGTCCATCCGCTCGTACACAGGTAGAGCGGGTTAAACCGAAAAGAAAAGTTATGTACCGTTTTGTAAAATTCCCAATAGTTATCGAGTAATTAATTAAAACGTTTGAACGAATAAGCGCGAAGAAAGCGGTAAGCCGGACTCGGCAGATATTAAATAGCTTATTTGTTTAGTCTTGTAGCGCTGAGGGACGAGCAGTTAGCATCATTTGAAGCTGGCCGCTCGCTGCGTGACAACTTTTTTCGGCTATTCCAAGAGGAGGCAGAGAAGTGACAGTGGAAATGTAGGAGTGAAGAAAGGGGGAGGAAGAAGAGAGAAACAGAAGGAGAAAGAGTTGACAGTCTGGAGGGTCTGGAGCGAGGAAGTTTGAAGTTGTGGGGGAGAACGGAAGAGATGGAGAAATCGATACAGAGAAGGAAGAGGATGGACTGGAGGTTCGAGAGATCGATAGCAGCAGTGGAGGGGAGTGATGGTGGCGAGAGCGAGAGATCGACGGACGGGAGCGAAGGGGATTGGTTGGAGAAGTCGAGAGATCGAAAGGGAAGGAAGAGGAAACAGAAGGAAGGGTGTTGGAAAGACAGAAGGCAAGAGAGATTGGTGAGAGATCGGTCAGAAAGAAGAAAGCGGACAAAGAGGAGACGGAGGAGCGGATAAAACGGAAGGAAAGGAGATAGGAGAGGATATAGAGAAGGAGGGGAGGAAAGGGGGGATACGTACAGCTGAGGATGCACAGGCAATACATGACGCGTGCGGGAACAGCTAGGTTAAGACGCACGTGCGGGTAGCGTAATGGCCGTAATGCATGCCTAGAGAAAAGTATGTCATACCGATACGTTGTCCTACGGATAGTGCGCGGATAGAAATGTCTTTCCTAGGGGGGAGGGAGAGAGAGAGAGAGAGAGAGAGAGAGAGCAGGGGAGGAGGAGGAGAGGAAGGAGAAGAGGAGAGACAGGGGAGAGAAGTAGCAGGAGGAAGCAGGAGTGAAGGAGGAAAGAAGAAGAAGACGATCGAGTGGTGAGGTGAGAGAGAAGAGACGTGGACGGGGAAGGAGGAGGAGACGAGGAGAGAGGGGAGACAGGTAAGCGACGTAGAAAGGCATAAGAGAAGGGCGAGAGAGGTGGAGGAGAGAAGGAAGGGGAGTAGAGGGACGAAGGAGGAGGAGGCAGGAGAGGAAGTGGAGGAGAAGAGGAAGAGGAGGAAAGGGAAAGAAGAAACGGGAAGACAAGGAGATGAGAGACGGGAGATATGGAAGAGTGGAGAAAAGAATTGAGAGAGGAAAGAGGAGAGATAATAGGGAAAATGAGGAAAATAGAGGAAGAGCTAAGAGGCATAAGAGAATGGCTGGAGGGAGAGGAGGAGAGGGAGATGGAGGAAAGAGAAAAGGAGAAAGATGAAGAGAAGTGGAGGATGAAAAGAAGAAGGAGGCAAAGTGGAGAGAGAGAAGACAGGCCGGTGGACAGAGAGATGAAGGAGGAGAGGAAGACAGGAAGACAGGAAGAGATGGAGAGGGGGAGAGAGGCGGAAAGAAGTGTGAGAGAGAAGAGAGTGATGGAGGGACATGGAGGAGGAGCAGGGTGAGACGAGAAGAAAAGGAAAAATGGAAGACTGGAAGGAGAGGAAAGGGGAGAAGAGAGAAGGTGCAGGGAGGAAGGAGGGGAGAAGAGAGAGAGGGAAGGAGGAAGGAGACAGAAAGAGGAATAGTGAGAGATGCGAGTAGTGAAGAGAAGGAAGAACCGGAGGAGAGAGGGAGGAGTGGAGGAGACAGAGGCTGAGGGGGAAACGAAATGGAGGGGAGGGGAGAGGAGAGGAAGGGAGGGAAGAGAATGACGTGAGAAGGATAGAGAAAGGTGAGATGGTAGGCGATGGATATTGGAAGAGAGGCGGGAACAGGGGGGAGGGAGGGAGAGAGGGACAGGAATAAAAAAGGTAACGAGTGGAGGAAATGGTGGAGGGGAGGAGAGAGGGGTAGGGGTGAGGAAGGGGGGAGAAGATGGGGAGGACAGAAGGAGGAGAAGGATGATTTGGAGAGGGGTAGAGGTAAGGTAGAGGAAGAGGTAAGGATAGGGAAGAGAGAAAATGGAGAATGAAAAGAGTGGTGAAGGAAGTGCTAGGGAGGACACCAGGGATAGGGGAGATAGTAGAAAGATTGGGGGAGGAGGGGAAGGTTGTAATGATAGTGGAGATGATGATAGAGAAAGATAGAGAGATGCTAATAGAAAGAATGGACTGGATAAGAGAGAAGTGGGGGATGACAGTGGATGAAGACATAAGTATAGAGGAAAGAAGGATTAGGTAGAGAATGATAGAGAGGGCAAAGATAGAGAGGGAAAAGGGAAGGGAGGTAAGAGTAGAGAATAGGAGGATGTGGGTGGATGGGAGGGAATGGAGATGGATAGGAGGAGAGGGAGGAAAGGGAGAGGAGTGGAAAAATTATGAAACTGTGTAATTACAGGAAAGAAGGAGAGAATGAGAAGGAGAACAAGGAAAGGAGAGGATGAAAAGAGAGGAGCAGGAATAGAAGGAAGAAGCAAAAAGGACAGAGGAAGGAAGACAGAGGAAGGACGTGAAGGACGTGAAGGAAAAGGAAGAGAGAGGGAGAAGGGAACAAAAAGGGAAGAGTGAGGGTGTAGGGAAGGGGAAAGAAGCATGTAAAGGTCGCTAAGGGCCAGGTCGCGTGGAAGAAAGGGAGAAGGAGAGGAAGTGTAAAGGGTTTGGGAACGCACCCTTCAAAAGCGCCACTTTTGCTCGAAAGGGAATAAAGTTTATACTACTACTAAATTAAATACACACACGCACGCACGCACGCACGCACACACACACGTTCAATTAATTCTTTTAAATAAATTAAAATTTTACTTTGGCGAAATCTTAACCCTTTGAAGCATACATTTTTTCCTTTCAGCCCATTTTTCTGAAACGGTTTTTCGGATCGCTGATTATAATTCTGGTGTCAGAATGGCAAAATTCAAATACAGATTTTCAGGCGCCATGTTGGATCCGCTGTTATGAATTTTGTAATTCTGATCTCGTATGTGTAATCAGCAACCTGAAAAACTTCCGAGTGCCGAGTTTTAGATAAATCGACTGCATTTTTTGCAATTTTAACTCTTTGTATTGAATACGCCATCTTGGATTAAAGAATTTCACATTTTGACTTCAGATTAAAAATCAGTGATGTCAAAAACCCCCGGATACCTCGTTTCGGAATGTTGTTTATAGGAATAATTTTTTGACTCTACAGGACATCTCACAAAACATTTTGATATACAGTGTGTATACAATGTACATTCTGTAAAATAGCGGGAATTATTCAACAAAACACAACATTGGTTTAATCATCCAAATTTATATTGTCGCCTTCAAAATAGGCCTCATTTGAAGCGATACACTTATGCCAACGAACAATCCAGTCGTCAAAATACTTCTTATAGACACTTTCCGGTATAGCCTTCAGCTCCTTCTGCGAATTTTGTTTTATAGTTTCAATGGACTCAAAACGTCTTGAACACGAAGTGGTAATTTGTGTTTGGGGAACAAGAAAAAGTCACACGGGCCATATCTGGCGAATACGGTGCTTGGTCGATGACATTCGTTGAGTTTTTGGTCAAAAATTCGCGTACAAGGATCAATGTGTGGGACAACGCATTATCGTGGTGCAAAATCCAAGAATTGTTCTTCCACAAATCTGGCCTTTTCCGGCAAACATTCTCTCTCAAGCGCCTCATAACGCCTACCGGAACGAGACAAGTCTTCAACCACTTCTCGGCCTTCTTTGAATGTTTTGTACCACCCATATGCTCGTGTTTTCGACAAAGCTGACTCACCGTAGGCCTTCTTCAACATTTTCAACGATTTAGCCCCAGATATTTCGTTGGCAACACAAAATTTGAGGCAAACTCTTTGTTCGATATTTTTATCCTTTTAAAAATCGTAGAGCATACTTGAGGTCGACTAACAAAACCAACAGCTATAAACAAACTGATTGACAGATGGCGCCAAAATATAAATACGTTTAAAAAATTTGTGCAAGTTGATAAATTCTATATCATACATTGTACAATCGTAAATTGTCGACAAATGTTTTAAGCGTTTTAATTTGCTTATATGAAATAGAATGTTTCTGGACGTAAAGAGCCCAATACGTTTTTGTTTTTATGCAATTTTGGTTTCGGTATATTACGATATCTTCTAGCAGCAATGTTGACGATCGTTAAAACTCGAAGATAATTTGAGATTACTTTAATCCATATTTCCATGAATCCGTCTTTGTACTGTCAAAAATAGCGAGTTATCATAGAGCGCGACGCAAATACTAACCCTGACCTTTTGTAACAGCGCATAATCTTCGCAATGCATTACGTAACACTTTCTCGGCGTTTAAATTACAATTTGATTGCACGGGGATAGAGGAAGCATTTGCCACCTAAATATTTGGCATGTGCAAACGTTTTGTTTGACGACGAAGGGAAAAAGAAGGAAAAGCAAGGTGAAGCGTATCGGAAGCGACATGTCCCAGAAAGAGAGGACTAGACTAATGTTTGTAGTGCTAAACAAAACTTGTTGTTCCTGTACTCACGAGAATAAGTTTGAATGCACCCTTGCGATGCGGTAGGTCGCTCAGTCCAAAGAGATCCTTTATTTGTGATGTAAATACGTGCATCGCCGCTGCAGTCGTGAATCCACTCACGAGACTGTCCGCGAGGAGAGACGAGATTACGCCCAAACGCAGCACGTACATTCCTAACTAGACGGGAGATTTTGAGTGATATCGCGAGAGGTCAAGAGAGCGAAATGTACTGTACTCCAGCAGGCATGGGGATGATAATTAAAACGGACCAAAACACACAGGCGGAAAATGCTAAATGCGTACATGGTTTCTTAAATTGGGCTTGTCTCGAAAATGTAAGGCGCGGGCGGAAGAGAATTATAATACGCGAATAAACATAAAAAGAGAATAAAAAGTAAATAAATATAAAACCGAAGCTTACAAATAGTTTACTAACGCAGAAAAACTAATTACCGAAAACTTATTAATTCCAAAGGACGCAAGCAAATACGTACAATATCTAGAATATCTGTAGAACTAAATGCAATCTTTCTATATGCGTATATAAATCTTTCACAAATGCTTAATAAAAATAAAAATTACACGATTCATGAATGACGAAGAAAGTTAATATGTTTTATAAATTAGATATAAAAACTGTCAGCGTCTTGTTGCATCATCGTAATCGATTATGTAAAATAAAAAAGCGATTTAGCGAATAAGAAGTCAAAAGTGCAGGAAAGGATACGTCGAAGATAATTGCAATCTTCGTGGAGAGCATCAACGGTGATGAATCGTATACAATGTAGTTACCTGTATAACGGCAACCGTGAATGTTACTACGGTTGCAACTTCCACTGGCGAGTATTGATGGCCTACGTCGGAAATTAAGGTGCCGTTCTCGGCTGACGTGTTATTTGTCGAAACTGCAGGGCTACTGTATGTCGTAACGACTTTGCCAGTCATCATGCAGACGAGCGCAAACGTACCTTAATCAACAGAAAAGCGGCAATCCTGTTTAATTATGTGACTTTCTGAATTGAGCGGCGGCCAAATGTAATATCTGACTAAACGTTGGTGCATAATTTTACGCTAATTTCGACAAATCGTTAGTTTCCTATAGATTATATCATCTTAATGCGCCGCATGTTTATCTTTTGTTTTCTTTAATGTTTTTCTGCAAAAATTTAATCTGTCCTTGTCACACGTACCCATGGAATTGTGTCTGGATGTGCCCAGAAAAAAGTACACAAGAACCGGGAAGAAAGCCATGTATATACCGACAATCGGCGGAACATTGCCCAGTATTGCATATGCCATACCTATGAGAATATCGATTGCGTTATAACAAAGATTAAAATACCTTGAATTTCGGAGAGGTCGGAGCGGACAATGAGTGCGTTCTAGCAAGACACTGCTACCGTAGCGCTACAGCTTTAGTTTGGCTACTAACAAGTCTGACACCCTGTGTACACACACACACGCACGCACACGCACACATATATATGTATATACTCGTATAAGATAATTTCAATGAATAAGTGCCAGGCAATCTCCTCTCAAAAAAATTATATTTTCGAAAATATGCATGTTGAATTAGAATCCTGAAAGTCAAAATATCGTTATATGTATAATGATTTTATGACGAGTCACTGTAGTCATTTTGAAGTCATAAAGTTTCAGTGATCAAACTCTGATATTTTCCCGTCATCTTGACGTCACCATGACATCATTTTGACTTTTTGTTCTCCTTGGGTTTGCTATTCCTATTTGGGAATAGAATGGAAAATATTGAAGATTGGCTCCTGAATGACATATTGTTCGATGATTCGTCAGATGAAAGCAACAATGAAGAGGAAGAAATTCCGCTACAGTTTTAGCGGAAAGTTTTGCCGAAACGCACTCGTGTAACGCTATTTACCATAGTAGCAGTGTCTTGCTGGAACGTATTCATTATCAATTTTAATCTGTTCTTGCGAGTCGTGAATAGTATCACTTAGAAAAAATTAATTTTTTATGTTATAATAGTCTTTTCTCATGTTGTTAATTGTAGACTATCTAATTCATAAAATATCCCATTCCTCAATTAAGCATTTTTCGCGCTTATTTTCAATTTATAAATTCTTCAATTAAGAATTTTAGCATCTTTCACGTTTATTTTCAATCTTAATTTATGTAGTTCTCTCACTCTCTCGCTGCACTTTCCTTTTTTCTTCTTCTTGTTATTTAATTTATCCCGTATTATTATTAAAAGAATTCAATGCAAAACATACCTTGTGGAATATGCATTACAGCAACAGTAATTCCAGCAACAACATCTCCTAAGATATTGTTCTTCCAGTCATACGTAGAAAGCCAGTCAATTAGCGGTATCGTTTTTTTTAAAACTGCAACTGGTTTGATACTTTTGCATCGTTTCGAGATCTCATTGCGAACTGTAGAGTTATAAGTTTTATATGTATATGTATACTTTTACACGCAGGCGTGCGCGTATAAAGGAAAGGCCCCTATTATGAGGCAGGCTTTCAATATGAGATAGTAAGTTTTCAACATCCAAATTCAATCACAAATCTTTTTTCGCAATAATTATAGGATCTAACAATGAATTTTTCACTAAACAGATTTCACTCCAAGAACAATAAATTCAAGGTCGATACAGCAGATGATGCCTGTTAATTTATAATATTAAAGTAGCAACTCCGCTATCTCATATTAGGAACTTATTTCATAACTTTCCTCTATACATATATTATTATATATGTAGGATACATATATTATTATATATATGTAGGATCCGCCATCTTGAATTTTCCCAATTTGATTTCAAATTCATGAAAAATCAGCGATCCCAAAAACTAGTAGAAAATCAGATTTTTTAGTACATGTTTACAATCAACTTTCTTTATAAACGAATTAAATGTGAATAAAATGCGTTTTCTTGAGCTTCAATTCGTTCATAATAAAACAAAACTTACAATATCGACGAAATGTCGATTCCATTATCAAGTTCCAATTCTTAGGAAGTTGTGAAATAAAAAAAAATTAAAAATGTCAAATAGTAAAAGCTAGAACGAAGAACAAAGAACGAGATCGTAAAGGTTGTAATTTAAGGTACCAGTATGGCTGAAAGGGTTAATAAAATACTTTTCAATCATTTTTAAGAAGACATTTCTAATTATTTTATGTGTAAAACTATTACATCAGAAAGTTAATATTATAATTAATTAGAAAATAATGTTAGGGAAATGAACACTTTTAATATGACATTTCGTATATCTGAAATATTTGATTTGAGTGCATTCGACATATGAGATATGAAATTTCTTGTAAATTATTCATACGGCACAATTTAACAACTTTTCCAAGACGGTAATGGACTTTTCGATGATCTAAACTTTTCATGTATACAGG